GGCCACCAAGCTGGCGTTCGAGGGCAGCGTCAGAAACCCCACCTGACGCCGACCTTCCCCTCGTGTCGGAGGTACACCGTCGAGATGGGTTAATTCAACACCTGCAGCTCCGCCGTAGGGTGTTCTCGGCTTCTGTGTGCGCCGGAGATACTTACTCCGGGGCTTGGAGTAAGGGATTTCCCAGACCCAATGGCAAAAAGTGAGATTCTAGCCGGGCACCGGTGGCTCACATCTGTAATCTTAGTACTCGGGAGACTGAGATCCGAGGATCGTGGGTTCAAAGCCAGCCTGGGTAGAAAAGTACTCATCGCCAATAAACTATTCAGAAAAGAAGTGGTGTTGAGGCTCAAGCGGTAGAATGCTAGCCTTGAGCTCAAAGAGGCTCAGAGGACAGTGCCCAGGCCTTGCGTTCAACCCCCAGGACCGGCAAAGAGAGCGAGAGCCGAGAGCCAGAGAATGATTTGTACCCTCACTCCCTCTTTAGCCTCCAAGGAAATATTTTTCTTTTCTTTTTTGTTTTTTTTGGGGGGGTCCGGTCGTGGGGCCTGAACTCTGGGCCTGGGTGCTTTTCCTCGGCTCTTCAGCTCAAGGCTAGCACTCTACTACTTGAGCCACAGCGCCACTTCTGGCTTTTTTCTGCTTATGTGGTGCTGAGGAATTGAACCCAGGGCTTCATGCATGCAAGGCGAGCACTCTACCACTGAGCCATCTTTCCAGCGGAAATATTTTTCTTAAGCCATGAAATGAGTGGTATTTGAGTTGCACAGGAAGAAAACTTGTACAAAGTGATAAATGAGGGGCTGGGAAGGTGGCTCAGTGGTAGAGTGCTTGCCTAGCATGCATGAAGCCCTGGGTTCGATTCCTCAGTACCACATACACGGAAAAGCTGGAAATGGTGTTGTGGCCAAGTAGTAGAGTGCTAGCCTTGAGCAACAGAAGCTCAGGGACAGCGCCCAGGCCCTGAATTCCAGCCCCAGGACTGGCCAAAAAAAAAAAAAAAAAAGTGATACATGAGCAACCTCTGGTTATGCTTCCCTAGGTCCCTAGAATGAAGTCCATTTTCTTCCTATGCTTGAGGAAAAGGAGATAGGCCCAGCTAGATCCAGTGCACATGTTGTATGAAGTTCTCTGAGTTTGGTGCTGCCATCTTTTCCTTCTAGTCTGTTTCTGTTCAAGGCAGACTACCACTAAGCCTGGGAGGAGGGTGTGGGGGGGGGGATGATTCCTTCTAAACTAACCAGGGCAGTCTGGCCTTAGGCCAGTATGATGCAGTTACTCTCACTTTTACTGTCCCTACTCCTGTCATTCTATTCCGGATATAGGAGGCATACACGGAGTATCTGAGGAGTATCCACTACATCTCCCAGGTGTTACTGGAGGAAGTAGAGACAACTAAAGGTGGGCTCTGAGACTCGCTGCTCTTCTTATAAGGTCAAATGTTGGACACGATGGCCCTTGTTGGGTCCCAGGCCTGGGGATCTCCTTGAACTTTCTAGCTTGATAGAAAAGGTGTGAAGTGGGGGGCTGGGAAGGTGGCTCAGTGGTAGAGTGCTTGCCTTGCATGCCTGAGGCCCTGGGTTCAATTCCTTAGCACCACAGTCAAAAAGAAAAAAGCTGGAAATGTCGCTGTGGCTCAAGTGGTAGAGTGCTAGCCTTGAGCTGAAGAGCTGAGGGGCAGTGCCTAGGCCCAGAGTTCAGGCCCCATGACCGGACCCCAAAAAAAAAAAATCTTCAGGGCTGAGCCCTGTGAACAGAAAAAGTATGAAGTGTTAGCTTTGAGTGACTGGGTAGGGCAATACAATGGCTCAAGGCTGGGAGGACTGAGTTACACAAGGATGGGTGTGTTCCCTGCGGAGGGACCTGCAAAAGCCCCGGAAAGGAAGCTGGGATGACTGGGCTCTACTCCTTGGGTGGAGCTAGTGTTGTTCCAATGAGGAGGGAAACGCTTGGAGGATTTGTGCTCCGTAGGTGTGGCCATCATGGAGAAACTGGTGAGGACCCAGGCTGAGCAACCTAGCATGCAGCCAGTCAGACTTGCTGGGCATTGATGTGAAGCTTCGGGAGGCAGGGCTGCTCTGGGCAGAGCAGGAGCTGGAGCGGATTGTGTAAGGAGAAGAACAGTGACTTCCGCTGTGACCTGGTTAAACCTGAGGAGCAAGCAGCCCCCTGGATTAGGAGACTAGCTAGTGGTCACCCCGCTCCACAGGGCAAATGAGGTCAGCTGAACCCTAGCCCTCTAGGATGCAGACATTGGAACAGGGGCCTGCAGGAGGGCCCCTGAGGAAAGGTGACGTCTCAGAGGACAGAGAAACCTGAGTAGCCTGCCATCTTTGGCAGGGTGAGGATGGGTAAGGAGTTCAGAGGCTGGCTGAAACAGATATGGAATGAAGAGGAGGTAGAGTCTATAGGGGGGTGTCTGTAATGAGAGGACAAAAGCCTGGTGCCAGGGCCAACAGGGCCCAGGGTGTAAGCGGCATCTACCAGAAAAAGCCGTCCCATGGAGGGCAGGAACAACACAGGTGCTCTAGGTAGAGGGGCTTGCTGATACCATTGCAGAAAGGTAGATGTTTGACATAGCATGACCACTCCCAAAGATGCTACAGCTACAGACAGGTCCTGAGAGGGGTGCAGGCCCCTGCTGTTTGGGCACAACAAGGCACAAGGGTCAGAGTAATGCTGAGTTGGCCAACCACAGGCCTGAGCGCATGGGTGGTCCTGAGCCCACGGCCACTGACCAGAGACGAGTGCAAGGGGCCTGCCCAGCTTTCCACCCACAGCAAGGATCTGACTCTTGGTAAGTCTGACTGTAACCAGTCCTCTTGTCCCTTCTTCAGAGGTGGGGGAAGCCGTGCTTCCTGACACACCAAAGATGCTGAAGCTGGCCGAACAGTGTCTGGAGAGGGCCCAGTCAACAGCCACCAAACTCGGTGGGTTCTCCCCAGCACCGCAGTGGCATCTGCTTTGTGAGTCAGGGAACAGCCTGCTGACCCCTGGCTGCATGTGGTTTGTAGGGAAAATGCGCTTGAAGCCAGCCACGCCCGTGGCTCCTCCAGCCCCTTTGCCTACCAGCCGCCACCGCCGGGTGTGTTCAGATGAAGGAGGGAAGCTTTCTCCTTTCCTGCCGCCAGAGATCTTCCAGAAGATGCAGGTGGCAGAGTCACAAACCTCTAAGAAGTAAGATGGGCAAAGTGGGAGATGCTTTGAGCCTGGGCTTGGGTGTGGAGGTGAAGCAGAATGCTTGGTTACAGTGGGTTCCAGGGTGGAAGCAAGTGCAGATCCTCTGAGGAAGAAAGTGCATTCCTCTCTCTTTGAATTAATCGCACACAATCAGAGCCAAACCGGAAAGGAAACAAGAAATGAGGAAATGGTAACAGAAACAGACAAAGTCTCTATCTAGCTAAACACAGACTAAACAACTTGTGTTTAGAAATGACATTCTGAAAATACCTGAACAAGAAAGTATAAAGTTGCTGGGTTCTGGTGGCTCACACCTGTAATCCTAGCTACTCAAGAGCCCCCTGTGATCTGAGGATCTGTTTGAAACCAGCCAGGCAGACAGATCTTTGAGGCTTGTATCTCCAGTTAACTAGCAAAAAGCCAAAACTGAAGGTGCAGCTCAAGTGGTAGGTTGCCAGCCTTGAGTTGAAAAAAGCTAAGCACGAGCAGAGAGGGGAGGGGAAGGGAGAGTCAATGAAATGAAACAACACAGTGATGAAGGTATTTCTAAAAACTAGTTGAGAATAAAAATAAATTATATTGTCTGGTGGAATTCTGCACAGACAATAAAAATGAGTGAATAGGCCAGAATTATCACTGGCATATGCCTTTAATTCCAATGTAAATTTGAGACCAGGCTTGCCTGTTTTATTAGACTCTAAAAATAAGAGAGAGAGAGAATATAAAACAGTAAAGCAGACATAGATGAAAAAGAATAAACTGGTGTAAAGGTCAACAGATATCCAGGAAGCATGACAGAAACAAGCCTAAAAGCAAGAAAATGAGAGTACCTGACAGTGTTTCTCGGAGTTCCAAATTGAAGAAAGGCTTTATTTGGAAACAACATTTTTCATTCCTTTTTTTTTTTTTGGTCGGTCGTGGGGCCTGAACTCTGGGCCTGGGCGCTGTCCCTCAGCTCTTCTGCTCAAGGCAAGCGCTCTACCTCTTGAGCCACAGTGCCACTTCCAGTTTTCTGGTGGTTTATTAGAGATAAGAGTCTCACGGACTTTCCTACCCGGGCTGGCTTTGAACCGCGATCCTCAGATCTCAGCCTCCTAAGTAGCTAAGATTACAGATGTGAGCTATCGGTACCAATGAAAACAATAGTTTTCTAGAACTAACAAAAGATAACTTAAACTTCAGGATGGACTCTCCTTTCTTGGTCTTGCTTTTTCCCACCTCATTCTCTCGATGACCCCTGACGCAGTAGAGGGATGGCGTTATACCTTGCCAACTGAAAACATTTCACTTGAGAATTTGTGGGTTGCAGACAGATCTCACTGTTGACTTACGCAGAGCTCCGTGTTGTTGCAACAGATATATAGTTGATTCTCATAAAAGTCCAGATGACCAGCTTCTCTTGAATCTTGAGTCCTGAACATGTCAAGGCCCATATTTCAGCTGATTAGAAAGGACAGGTACTGTGAGATCACCCAGACAACTCCTTCCCATTCTTTCCTTCTGGTCTGAAAGATAAGGTGATCTTTTCCTGACCTGAAAGGGAAGTTTTCAGAGCACTCCTGGGCTCCTGGGGTGTGGATGGCAGCTTGTCACTATTATCAGGGAGCTGACACCGCTGGAAGAAGCCTCACTGCAGAACCAGAAGCTGAAGGCCACATACGAGGCTAGGATGGCCCGTCTGGATCCCCGCCAAGCTACGCAGAAGACTGCGCTGGTAAGTGGCACTCAAGGTGCATTTGGCACTAGTTGGGGGGAAAAAAAGGTCCAGGGTAGATTAAAGGTGGGCTTCCTTCTTCCTTCTCCTCCTAGACCCTGTCTCTTCAGCGGCAGATGATGGAGAATCTGGTGATCGCCAAAGCCCGGGAGGAAACAGCATCCTTGAGCAGAGATCAGAGCTGGGCTTGGAGAAAGTGGGTAGAGGGAGAGGAGAGCTGTATGTGAGGTCAGATGTGGAACAGAGCATCTTCCCAGCTCTGGGGAGGAAGACGCTGTTGCCTCCCTGGCCTCTGCACAAACTGCCCTCCAACCTCCCAGCACCACGCAGCTCCTCTCACCCTTCAGGTTGCCTGAGATTTGCCTCTCAGTCACATTCCTGGGAAGAGCCCCTCCCTGAGTTGGTTTCTGTCCTTCTGCCTTGCCCACTGCTGGGCTGTATCTTTAGAGTTTCACCAGCCTGGGGACCCCGACTCGTAGGGCACAGAGGGAGTGTGGCACTTCAGAGGGGTGGGGAGAGGCAGGTCCGCTCAGGTCAGACCGTGCCGGCCCTTGACTCTGCCATCTCAGCTCCAGCGGAAGATGGAGGAGCGCCGCCTTCGGCTCCAGGAGGCTGCCAACAGGTGCCTGTCTGCCGGCCTCGCCCCGCAGGCCGTGCTGGGGGCCTGCGGGCTCTGTGTCCACAGGCCCGGCGCCCGGGCCTCAGCGTGTCTGTGTTCCTCCCCAGGCGGTTCTGCAGTCAGGTTGCTCTGACTCCAGAGGAGCGGGAACAGCGCGCCCTCTACGCAGCTATACTGGAGTACGAGCAGGACCATGTGAGTACTGGCAGGGCCAGGGTCACCTGAGGCTTCAGGAATTTGGTCTGCCCCACAACCCAAGGAGGACCCCAGCACGACCCCGGCAGGGGTGAGGGTATCCATGGTGGGGGACCTACTTTGCTTTCCTCCAAGGCCCCCTGTCCTGCAGGACTGGCCAAGGCAGTGGCGAGCCAAGCTCAAGAGGAGCCCAGGGGACCTGTCGCTGGTGACCAGCCTGGTCTCCCACCTGCTCAGGTACACTGGGCCCCACAGACCCCATGCCCCAACCGTGAGATTCTGGAGGATACAGACAGAAGATTATTTAGGAAGGGGAGGGAGGAAAGTGTTGGAGACCCCAGCTCTCAGGAACAGCAGGCCTCCGGCAAGGAGGTCATATGGTGCCTGTGCCACTGGCGGCTGGGCTGGCAGCTCCAAGGGCCAATGGCGGACGGCTTTTACTTGGCTTCATTTACCTTCCTGAGCTGAGGCAAGTGACACTTGGGATACCCACTAACAGGAAACTGTGGGAGCCACTTCTCTCAAACCTTTCCAAGTGGGCGGCTTGACAGACAGGTAGATGTCACAGACAGGGCCAAAGGCTCAGAAGGCTGAGGCCAATATCAGGTACTGGGGACTGGTTTCTCAGCCCTGGGACCACAACCAGTAGGTGACAGCCCTGCCCGATGCTGATGGCGCCTAGGGCCAGAGTAGTGGGCGGGCAGCGGGGCACGCCCTCCTGTGTGGCCTCTTCAAGGTCTTTGCTGCACTTGCTCCTCTCCTTGCAGTCTTCCCGACCACCCAATCTCACAGCTCCTAAAGAAGCTCCAGTGTGCGGTGTATGGTGCTCTGTACTCCATTGTGAGCCAGACTGCCATCAGTGCTGCATCTGCTCCAGGCTGCTGCTCCTTGCCCCCAGACACCAACAGACTGCTGGCTCCCGGAAGCCGGCGGCTCCGGTCCTCCCAGAGTCTTTACTGCATGCTGTCCCCACCAGAGCCCAGCACAGCCCCAAAGCCACAGGATGGACCCCCTGCTCCCCCCTCCACTCCCCAGCTTCACCCTGGTCCCCTGGAGAGAGGGGTAGACAGTAGCAGGCCTCCCTCACCCCTGGTGGACACCTCGCCATGCCTGCCAGACAAGGACAGCTCCTTTGAGGACCTGGAACGGTTTCTGGCTACATCTGAGAGGTGGGGCCGGAGCCCCGGGAGCCACCCTGAGCCACAGACCCCAGGAGCAAAGAGGGAACCCGTGCTGGAACGCCTGAAGAGCACCGTGAAGGACATTCACAATGCCATTGGTGAGCCACAGCGCCGGGACTGGCCAGCAGTGCCGCTTGCCACGCCCCGCCCTCTCCGCAGAGCAGGCCTGGGCCCGTCCTAGCCCCTCAGACAGTGGGCGGGTGTGAGCCGGTTGAGACTTGTGGAGGGGCCAGACAGAGTGTCCTCCCCATGGCTCTGCCACACACAGGCTGGTCTTGGGCTTGGAGCGTCTGGAGACTGCAGGCGAGGGGCCTGTCTAGACATCCCCAGCTCTGCTTTTGGCAGACAGGCTGCTCTCCCTGACCCTTCTGGCCTTCGAAAGCCTGAACACAGCTGCCTCCAAGGACCGCTGCCTGGCCTGCATTGAAGAACCCTTCTTCTCCCCGCTGTGGCCCATGCTGCTTGCCCTCTACAGGTATAGCCCTGCCCAAAGGACCTTCCTGCAGCCTAATGTCTCTAGCACAGTCCCTCAAGGGCCTCCAACATTCTTAAGTACCATCTGCTCTCCTCTGCGTTCCCGAGGCATTTCCATCCAAAAGTGTTTCTAGTTGATGGGTGGGCCTTGCCCACTTCCTAAGTTTGGGGTCTGGGGCAGATGGCGCTCCCCATGACAGAGCTCCGGGGACCGCCCGTGTCTGGATGGCTAAGCCTGGCCTCTCTCCACCCCAGGAGTGTGCACTACGCACAGGAGGCTGCCCTGAGCAGGAGCATGGAGCTCTACAGGAACGCACCCCCTACCACCCTTGGCATCCCCACCAAGCTCCTCCCCCAGGACTCTGAGGCCAGGGGGGGCAGCACCTACCCCTACTGCACTGCAGCCCAGGAGCTGGGCCTGCTGGTCCTGGAGAGCTGCCCCCAGAAGAAGCTGGAGTGCATCGGTGCGGGAGGTTTGAGAGTCTGGGTCAGATGCGACAGACCCCCATCCTAGCGCCTGGCCTGGGGCCTGTACCCTCCGCTCGGAGCCTCAGTCCCTTTTCCAGTAGATCCCATAAGGGGAAGTTGCCAGCTGTTACCATCCATGCATACCAGGAGGTGGGTGGCAGGGCCAGGAAGGGCAGAGCTGTCCCAGCCCCTGAGCGGGAAGCAGCAGCACGGGCTCCCCGCATACGGGCCCCCTTGGGTCTCCATGTCCCTCCTGGGTCCTCCTGTTGAATCTCCAGACCCCTGAAGCCACATTTCTGTGCCACAGTACGGACCCTGCGGGTCATCTGCATCTGTGCAGAAGACTACTGCCGCACCCAGGAGGCCAGGCCAGAGGCGGGACTCCAGCCCCACGCGGCTGCCATGTGAGTCCCGGGAGGGCGGGTGGGAGGCCACCAGCACGTGTGTCCTGCTCTCAGAGGCCCGAGGAGCATCCCCAGAGCCGCCCTCCCAGCACCACCATTCGCTGTCCCCACATTCACACATCCCAGAGGGCAGGCCCAGGCTTTTTCAGGGTCCCTGGCCAATATGGTGGTAAACAGGGCTGCTCTTCCCCGAAGGACACGGTTGGACTCCCAGGATATTAGAGACGGCCGAGGAGGTGCAGACTCCAGGGTCCCCCACTATCTGCACTGACATCCCAGCACTGGGGAGGGGGGCCGGGGGGTCCTGAGTCCACCAGCCTGGGCTTCGGGATGCCTGGTCCTACCTTGAGCACCTCTGAGACTCAGCTCTGGCCCAGAGCTGATAACCCTCAGCCCTTGCATAAGCTCTGTCTCCTGCCACGCAGCCTCAGGGACACGGTTAACCCTGAGGCTGCCATCACAGCTAAGGGGCTGTGATCTTGCCCTCCACCCCCACAAGGAGAAATCAGAGCTGAGCAAATTCAGGAGCTCCTAACAAGGAGAAAGCAGATGCTTCCTGCCCACTCCAGGTCATGATATTAGTCCTCCCACTGGAAGGACTCCACCAAGCCGGCCTGGCACCCCTGGCCCTTTGATTCATTTTAGAACTCCTAGACAAAGTGTTTACAAGGCTCAGCCTTGACCATGTCAGCCCCCTGTGAAGCCAGGGAGGCCACATACATCCCGGTGGTTCGCAGGATCCTGAGCAGGTAGAGTGGGCGGTGCAGCCTTGGGGGCCTCTGGGGAGGGGTCAGACCCAAGCCGCAGCCTAGATTCCTCCTTGCAGGACGCATGTGCCCTCCCTAGTGCAGTCAGACCCCTTCTGAGTGGGGTTGGGTCCCAGTGCAGCTATAATCAACCCCTGGTTTCAGCTTTCTTCTGCCCCCTGGCTCCTGAAAGTCTGGAAAGGTGAAAAGGACTGCAGTGTGTCCAGTCTTCACTTAGAGACTGTCACCGTGGCCAGGAGGTATTCTGTACTACTGGTGGATCAGGAGTATAGGGACTGCAGCCCACCAAGCCAAGACTAACCCCAGGGAGCAGAGCCAGAGCCTCTCCCAACCTTTGTGTCTTTGCCCAGCAGTGGTGCTGATGACCTGCTACCAATCCTGTCCTTTGTGGTGCTAAGGAGCGGCCTACCCCAGCTGGTGTCAGAGTGTGCAGCCCTGGAGGAATTCACCCATGAGGGGTAGGAGTTCAGACCAGTGGCGTGGGGGGCATGTGCTGGGAGCAGGGGCTCTGTTTCCACAGGGGGACCTCGCCCCAAATTTAAGTCATGCAGTAACAGGCCCTGAGGGCCACGGTAAGCTTGCAGGCCAGGCCACTCTGGCAACATGGATGGGTCCACCTGAGCATGGCACCCACACCTGTGCTGCTCACAACCCCTGCTGAGGACCGTAGAGCGGAGCTGAGGGCTCCCCTGAGTAATGTGCTCTGGCCAGCTCAGTACCCAGGTCCTTCTCCCGAGGAGCAGGGGCTGCCCTCCACAGTGCTGCGTCCCGCCAGGCGACACGTGCCCCTCTGCCACTTCCATGCAGGTACCTGATTGGAGAGGAGGGCTACTGCCTGACTTCACTGCAGAGTGCCCTGAGCTACGTGGAGCTGCTGGCCCAGGGGGGCCTGGGCAGGTAGTGGAGTCCAGAACCCAAAGGCGCCAGGGACTCCTGAGGACTACCTGTTCCGCACAGCTGGCACTGGGACACTACGGGGAAGTTAGCCCTGGCTCCCTTCCTAACCCGAGGCCTGGGGCCACCCTGGGCGCCTCCCAACAGCACAGGACTGAGCTTCCAGTGCCCGCTGTGCTCTGTCCCCTCAGAAGGGAAGCCGCAGCTGCTGCTCCCCAGGAGCTGCACACTCTTGACAGAGCCTCCTGCAGGGAGTTGGGGTTCGCGTGGGCATGGCTGTGCATCTGTGCTGAGAAGGAGCCAGGAGCCTGACCAAAAGCAGGGGCAGCAAGTCTTTGAGGCTTGTGAGAGTTAAGAGTGAGAATGTCCAGGAGGGTCATGGTGAGGCTGTGCTGTTGGCCTGGTGGTGACTGCCCTGCTTCTCTGCTCACTTCGGCTTCATGTCCAGGGCTCAGAGCTCTGTTCCCTCCCTGGTTGTGGACTCTGCCACCTTGACAGAGGGGTGTGAGCCACAGCTGAATGGTGGCCAGTGTTGATGGCTGTGCAGCCTCTCCTGGGTCAGGGCAAGCCCAAGGTCCAGCACCTGACTGTTACTTACGCATTGTACAACCAACCCAGGACAGAAGAAAGATTATGTTCTGTCTGAATTGTGTGGCTCATTCAGTCTCACCCACTGGCCAGGCAGGAGCCTGGATGCCCGTATCACGGCATGACTACCCTTTGTGACCCGCAGAGACCACTAGGAACAGGTACTGAGAAGCCAAAGCACCTCCTGGAGGGTTGCTGGCCAGGCGGATGTGGGCTTCCCCCTCTAGGAAGCACAGCTCTGCCGGGCATTATGGGAGCCCAGGACTAGAGGTCACATACCTGCAGTCCCGAGCCCAGGTGTTCTCAGGCAGGAGTGTCCGGAAATTTCCATCTCACCTGTCATCCAGCACTGGAACAGAGAGGCTGGCTCCCATCTGCCCCGCACCATGCTAATGTTGCTAATGTCCTAATGAAGCACACACTTGCCACACAACCGACTTTGGCTCCTCTGCTGATTCCAGTTTATATAGTTCATTGTGCTTGAAGCACTGTGTCCTCACTCCCTCGGCCTGGATATGAACACCACAAGTACTCTGGGAATTCAAAATTAACACCCTTGGGATTAGAGGTGTGACAGAGTCCCAGCTGGAAGTGAAAAAGCCAAGCAAGAGTGTGTGAGGCCCTGAATTCCAGCCCCAGTGCTAGCATTACAAAGAAATGGCTGGATGTGGCTCAGTGGCGGAGTGCTTGCCTAGCAATGCATGAAGCCCTGGGTTCAATTCCTCAGTCCATGCACAGAAAAAATGGGAAGTGGTGCTGTGGCTCAAGTGGTAGAGTGCTAGCCTTGAGCAAAAGTAGCTCAGGGACAGTGCCCAGGCCCTGAGTTTAAGCCCCAGGACTGGCAAAAAAAAAAGCGTAGGAGGGGCTCCAAATTGCAAACACAATAAAGAAATGCAAGTTAAAAAGAGAACCGTCATACCTGTCAGAATGTAATTGGGAAAGTTTTAGGATGCTCTGCATTAGATAAGTATGGATGGACACACTGACAAAAAGTCTGGCTCCATGTTGAGACTAGGGTCTATGAAAGGACGTGTGAGGACTTGTGGCTGCTCAAACGCAAAGGCACCCCTGCTGTGTTTGCCCGGCTTGGACTCCAACACTGCTCTTTCTGGAGCTGTCACCTGAGCCACCCCAGCTCATGGCGGGCTTGGGGTGCTGTCCCCCACCTTCCCCAGGACGGGCTTGGGGGCTGTGTCCCCCACCTGCCCCAGGGCGGGCTTGGGGGGCTGTGTCCCCCACCTTCCCAGGGTGGGCTTGGGGGGCCGTGTCCCCCACCTGCCCCAGGGCGGGCTTGGGGGGCCGTGTCCCCCACCTGCCCCAGGGTGGGCTTGGGGGGCCGTGTCCCCCACCTTCCCCAGGGCGGGCTTGGGGGGCCGTGTCCCCCACCTTCCCAGGGCGGGCTTGGGGGGCCGTGTCCCCCACCTTCCCCAGGACGGGCTTGGGGGCCGTGTCCCCCACCTGCCCCAGGGCGGGCTTGGGGGGCCGTGTCCCCCACCTTCCCCAGGGCGGGCTTGGGGGGCCGTGTCCCCCACCTTCCCAGGGCGGGCTTGGAGGGCCGTGTCCCCCACCTTCCCAGGGCGGGCTTGGGGGGCCGTGTCCCCCACCTTCCCCAGGACGGGCTTGGGGGCCGTGTCCCCCACCTTCCCCAGGGCGGGCTTGGGGGGCCGTGTCCCCCACCTTCCCCAGGGCGGGCTTGGGGGGCCGTGTCCCCCACCTT